TGTTGGTGGCTGTTCACAGGTGCAGCCATAGTGTACTACAGCCTTGTGCCCTTGGGCTTAAGTGATCCTCCCACCTCAGCCTCTTGAGTAGCCATGACTACAGGTGCATGCTACCCCTGGTTGCTGTTTTTTAGGAGTATTTATTCAATTTTTCATTTATTATTATTTTTTTGAGATGGAGTCATCCAGGGTGGAATGCAGTGGTGTGATCTCCTCTGTCTCCTGGGTCAAGCAATTCTCATGCCTCATCCTCCTGAGTAGCTGGGATTACAGGCATGCACCACCGTGCCCAGCTAGTGCTTGTATTTTTAGTAGAGACGGGGTTTTCACCATGTTGGCCAGGCTGGTCTCTGACCTCAAGTTATGCCATCCTCCTCAGCCTCCCAAAGTGCTAGGATTACAGGTGTGAGCCACCATGTCCAGCAGTAGCATTTATTCTAATGCAACTAGTTGTATCATGAAACAATTGGAGTGCTCTCTGTTTATATTATGTATATTAGTTTCATCTCACCCTCCAGGAGACTTGCTTGAGTGAGGTTGCAGCTCTGGCAGGAGCAGGTGGGGAATATGTTTTTTATAGCATAATTTGTAGCTTATTTAATTGACTGCTATTTTCTCATGTTGAGCATTAGCCAAAGATTACTTCTCTTTGGATATGAGATATCCAGGCTATTCTTTTTATGAAGAATTCAGTCTTTCCATTCTACTTTTTCAGTCTCCTAAAGACTGGAACCCAAATGCTATCGTTGGAAGGCGTTATTTTAGCTTCTCAGTTTTGGCATAGATCTCTAATAAATTTTTCCAATAAAATGTATTTAACATTTTGTACCCTTATACTATGACTATGCTTTCAGTAGATAATATTGAAATCGTTATAATCTTGTCCCTTGTTCTGTGAAAAATTATAGTTCATTTTGAGAGAAGAAACTTGATGTGAAAGTTCCCATCCCATGATCAGTGATAGGGATCTTTCCTTGGCTCTGAATTTCTTTTCATGTGTTTTTTTTTTGAAGATGAGTTTCGCTCTTGTTGCCCAGACTGGAGTGCAGTGGCGCAATCTTGGCTCACTGCAACCTCTGCCTCCCCAGTTCAAGTGATTCTCCTGCCTCAGCCTCCCAAGTAGCTGGGATTACAGGTGCTCACCACCACGCCCGGCTAATTTTTTGTATTTTTAGTAGAGACGGGGTTTTACCATGTTGGCCAGGCTGGTCTCCAACTCTTGACCACAGATGATTCACCCACTTTGGCCTCCCAAAGTGCTGGGATTATAGGCGTTGAGCCACCGTACCCTGCCAATTTCTTATTTTCATGCACTTATCTCTGTGTGTGCCTTATTATCCAAAACTGTAAGCCCCTTAAGGGAATAAAAGATAAGCCCCTTATTATCCTGAACTTAAGCCCCTTTTTCATCTTTGTACCATTTGCAACATGAAAAATTATGTTTGAATTACTGCATGCACTAATTTATGTCAATGTTGTATTAAATCCATAAAATGCAGAGAAATGTCAGGTGACATTTTTCTTTTTGTTTGTGGTCAAGTGATATTTTCTAAAAAAATAAATGATATAGACCAGGTGCGGTGGTGCACGCCTATAATCCCAGCACTTTGGGAGGCCAAGGCGGGTGGATCACAAGGTCAAGAGATCGAGACCATCCTGGCCAAAATGGTGAAACCCTGTCTCTACTAAAAATACAAAAATTAGCTGGGCATGGTGGCGCATGCCTGTAGTCCCAGCTACTTGGGAGGCTGAGGCAGGAGAAACCCTTGAACCTGGGAGGCGGAGGTTGCAGTGAGCCAAGATTGCACCACTGCACTCCAGCCTGCTGACAGAGTGAGACTCCATCTCAAAAAAAAAAAAAATCATCTAATTAATGAGTGGCATTGGTGCTAAGTTTTATGAGGCTTTTGGAGATGATGTAACTGTGGACTGAGAAGTCAAGCAAGACATTTCAGAAAAGGTGAGATACAAGTTCTTTTAAGGAAGAATAGTTGTTCTATGGTTAGGAATGGGAAGTATATTCAGGTTGGAGGGAGGAGCTTGTGCACTGGTGGGGAGACAACATGTAGGACATATTTAGAGACCGGTGAATGGGTCTGGTCCAGTGAAGACTGTGCATGTGTGGGTGATTGAGGGCAGAGTGGGTAAGTTGTGATCGAGCCTTCTACTTGCCATGTGACCTTTAGACAAAGTCTTTTCTTTCTACTTTTTATTTTTCCTCTTTCTTCTTCTTTATTTTTTTTTTTAAGAGACAGAGTCTCACTGTCTGGTCCAGGCTGGAGTGCAGTGACATGATCACAGTTCACTGTGGCCTTGAACCCTGGGGCTCAAGCCATCCTCCTGCCTCAGCCTCCCGAGTAGCTGGGACCACAGGCACATGCCACCATGCCCAGTTAATTTTTGTATTTTTGGTAGAGATGGGTTTTTGCCATGTTGGCGAGGCTGGTCTTGAACTCCTGACCTGTGGTGATCCACCCATCTCGGTGTCCAAAGTGTGGGGATTACAGGCATGAGCCACTGCACCCAGCTGTCAGTTTGATTGTTACGATGTCATTTCCCTTCTTTATACATCCCCTTCCCCACATCTTGTTTGGTATTTAATGGACATTTCTCTTCTTTTCTAAAGGATCTACCGCTACCAATCTCATGACTATGCCTTCAGTAGTGTAGAAAAATTACTACATGCTCTAGGAGGAGATGAATTCCTTGGAATGCTTAACCGAACTCTTCTTGAAACCTTGCAGAAGGCTGGCTTCTCTGAGAAATTCCTCAATGAAATGATAGCTCCTGTTATGAGGGTCAATTATGGCCAAAGCACAGACATCAATGCCTTTGTGGGTAAGCCAGGGCATGGAACAGTGCTGGACATTAGTTCTCAAAGGGGCTTACCTGATGCTATGGTGGCCCCTGACTTTAGGCCATGGACTGGAGGCTACCTTTCTCTGTGAACCTCAGACATTGTTAGCAAAATCCTGCATATGTAGATGTGCATTTTTAGGGGGAGAGGGTCTTTAGCTTTCATTAGTTCAGTGATTCTTAATTGGGGGATTTTGCTCCCAAAGACCATTTAGCAATGTCCAGAGACATTTGGAGTAGAACATGTGATTGGGAAGGGAGAGTGGGTAGACAGCCTCTTACAAAGTCAGAAATAAAATACGTTTTTTCCTCCTGTTGACAGGGGCAGTGTCATTGTCCTGTTCTGATTCTGGCCTTTGGGCAGTAGAAGGTGGCAATAAACTTGTTTGCTCAGGGCTCCTGCAGGCATCCAAAAGCAATCTTATATCTGGCTCAGTAATGTACATAGAGGAGAAAACAAAGACCAAACACACAGGTAAGCTTGAATTTCTGTTTTATTGTTCCTGATTTCCCCTGTAGGCCGTGATTGCTCAGGGAGAAACACCTCTCTTTTGTCATCTCTTACTCAGTTCTAAAATGATTAAACTATGAAACTTGAAATTGTGCCATGTAGAAATATTCCCCAACGTAGTTAAGTGCTGTGGCATTACTCCTTGGATTTGAAAAATAATCTTATCTTTAAAAGTAAAAATTCCATAGTTTGTACTTATTGACATTCTGAATAAGAAATTGGCCACAATGTAATAAAAATGCAAGGGACAGCTATCTTAAGGGATATAACTTATTCAGTTCTTTTTTTTCCTTTGGAGATGGAGTCTTGCTCTGTTGCCCAGGCTGGAGTGCAGTGGCATGATCCGGCTCACTGCAACCTCCACCTCCCGGGTTCAAGCAATTCTCCTGTCTCAGCCTCCCAAGTGGCTGGGACTACAGGCATATGCCACCATGCGCAGGTAATTTTTTTGTGTTTTTAGTAGATATGGGCTTTCACCATGTTGCCCAGGCTGGTTTCGAACTCCTAAGCTCAGGCAGTTCACCAGCCTCGGCCTTCTCAAGTGTTAGGATTACAGGCATGAGCCACCGCACCCGGCCATAACTTCAATTCTTTAGAATTATAGAGAAATTATGAAGAAAGGATAGAATTATTTTTAGAAGGTATATTAGAAACACTAAACAAATATTGCCTCCCTATTTCCTCTAGGAAATCCAACAAAGATGTATGAAGTGGTCTACCAAATTGGAACTGAGACTCGTTCAGACTTCTATGACATCGTCTTGGTGGCCACTCCATTGAATCGAAAAATGTCCAGTATTACTTTTCTCAACTTTCATCCTCCAATTGAGGAATTCCATCAATACTACCAGAATATAGTGACAACTTTAGTTAAGGGGGAATTGAATACATCTATCTTTAGCTCTAGACCCATAGATAAATTTGGCCTTAGTACAGTGTTAACCACTGATAATTCAGATTTGTTCATTAACAGTATTGGGATTGTGTCCTCTGTGAGAGAAAAGGAAAATCCAGAGCCGTCAACAGATGGAACATATGTTTGGAAGATGTTTTCTCAAGAAACTCTTACTAAAGCGCAAATTGTAAAGCTCTTTCTGTCCTATGATTATGCTGTGAAGAAGCCATGGCTTGCCTATCCTCGCTATAAGCCCCCAGAGAAATGCCCCTCTATCATTCTGCATGATCGACTTTATTACCTCAATGGCATAGAGTGTGCAGCAAGTGCCATGGAAATGAGTGCCATTGCAGCCCACAACGCTGCGCTCCTTGCCTATCACCGCTGGAACGGGCACACAGACATGATTGACCAGGATGGCTTATATGAGAAACTTAAAACTGAGCTATGAAATGACACATTCTTTTTTCCCCTTCTAGTTCCAAATGACTGTCAGTGGCAAAAAAGAACAAAATCTGAGCAGAGATGATTTTGAACCAGATATTTTGCCATTATCATTGTTTAACAGAAGTAATCCCTGCTGGTCATAAGAAAACACAAGGTTCTAATTAAGTGTGAAAGTATAACTATTGCACTTATTCCATTTCCAAAGTTTCTTAATTATTCTTTCACTATCCATTGGGAGTGTTTCTTTTTTTTTTGAGACAGAGTGTCACTCTGTCACCCAGGCTGTAGTGCAGTGGTGCGATCTCGGCTCACTACAACCTCCGCCTCCCAGGTTCAAGCAATTCTCTTGCCTCAGCCTCCTGAGTAGCTGGGATTACAGGCACGTGCCACCGTGCCCAGCTAATTTTTGTATTTTTAGTAGAGACGGGGTTTCAACATCTAGGCCAGGCAGGTCTTGAACTCCTGACCTCGTGATCCACCCGCCTCCGCCTCCCAAAGTGTTGGGATTACAGATGTGAGCCTCCGTGCCCGGCCGGGAGTGTTTCTTAAACTTGTCTGATAAGAATCACCTGGAGTTAGGAGGTGGCGGTTGCAGTGAGCCAAGATCGTGCCATTGCACTCCAGCCTGGGCAACAAGAGCAAAACTCCATCTCAAAAAGTAAAAATAGGCCGGGCGCGGTGGCTCAAGCCTGTAATCCCAGCACTTTGGGAGGCCGAGGCGGGTGGATCACGAGGTCAAGAGATCGAAACCATCCTGGTCAACATGGTGAAACCCCGTCTCTACTAAAAATACAAAAAAAACATTAGCTGGGCATGGTGGCGCGTGCCTGTAATCCCAGCTACTGAGGAGGTTGAGGCAGGAGAATTGCCTGAACCCAGGAGGCGGAGGTTGCGGTTAGCCGAGATCGCGCCATTGCACTCCAGCCTGGGTAA